ATATAATGTGTTATTGGTAAATTACATTTTGCGATAGGTATATAGGTATGTATCGTATGAAGAAATTTGATGATGATGAGCGAGATACGGTGGCTCTATTGGTTAGAGCAGTACGGAACACCGTGGTCGTCGGTTCAAGCCCCACTCGTCTGAATCTATTATTCTATCTTATTTTTTAACTTAACGTTCTACACTACAACTAGAATATACATATTTAACAAAGTTTGATGCTAGCCACATTTATAAGCCTCCTTTATTACCCTTGGCACAAAAACTCAGTGGTCTAATACGATTTACTTGCCCAAGGACGAGAACACACCAGGTTCTTACTCTGCGCATGTTTATTCGGCTTAAGAAACTGATACCTTGTCGTGCGCAAAACATTTCCTTATACCGAGATCTTTGAGGGAAGCTTAGTGGACCCGAAACCCAACATTCAACTTTTATAGAACCCGCTCCATTGCTTGAGAAACGCAAGATTACCTACCTACCCATGTATTATAACTAACATATATTTTATACGACAGTATAAACATATACACATACAACTGAGTAACAAAGGCGGTTTGAAAAATGATGTCGAGCCGTAGTGAAAATAAGCTAACTAATATATTAAGCGTCGTATAAGCTAAAAGTGTCGTATTTTCGTGTGTAAAGGAAATATTTATTAGGGCACAAAAAGTGATAAAAAGAAACGAGTTTTAATTAGTGATTGTTAATTATAAAACTTTTCAATTTGTGTATATTACACACACGATTGCAACGAGCAATTTTAATAGTGTTTTTTTTTTAAATTGTTATTTATTTTAAAGTTGATGAAACGTTATTCAAGATTCTCGTCATTACATGTTAAGGTCTGAGATACAGATTTAGATTTTGTTTAATTAATTAAATAGGTAAGAAAAAATAAAATCTTTTTCAGGAACCCATCTTTTGAATCCTGAATTTCATAGAACTCTCATTCGAAATTCAATTTCAGAGTGACCGCTGTCGTCTGCGGCGTAAAATAATTTTCGAAAATCGAACGTAAATAAAATGGAGTGGTCAAAATTGAGTGAAAAGCCAGGGCTCTTTAGGCCATTCCCGATTCAAGCGGCATCCTGAAGTGCCATTACTGTATTAAAACGCGCCTTTTTCAATCGTATCCAAGGGTGGACTCGATGCTTGGGATTTCTAAATTAATTGGCTCTTCGACGAGCACCTCCTTGAGGTTGTAAAAAATGTGGAGAGAATTGAATTGTAGAGATAACTTGAAAGCGAATTTCTTTTTTATGACGAACGAAATGAAGACGTGACCCATACCACATTATTTAGATAAAGAATATATATTACATAACATTTTTGTTAGTATTTGAGATGGCATTTCAACTCTAACACTACATTTTGAAGAATAATTAACATACGAGGCTGCTAGAGGCAGAGTGGCCTAATAACAAAAAACACGATTTTCAATAACGAGGAAAATAAAAATGCGCAATTATCTTAGGCGGAATTGAATTTAACTATTATTTGTATAAAAAGTATGTTAACAATTTTCGGTCACTGTGCTCTTGTGGAGTAACATTTTTAGACTATGAAAATATAAACAACTCACGTCACAAAAATTGTAGTTAGGCTACTCTGCCTCTAAAGGCCTCAATTATTATTGAAAGTATAATTCACTATACATTGTAGGTAGCAAGTATATACGAGTTTTTATTGCAGAGGATAGCCAAACGTGGTGTACACTCGATTAAAGGTAAAACATTCCAGTCCCGTACCATCGAATTAGGATGCGCTGTCATCCATTTTTTGTTCATGGGCGGTGACTCATGACATGGACGAAATTTCTATTACTACCTACTTAATTTTTCAGATATTTTGGTCAACATGTTTAAAAAAACTACCCCATTACCGAAATCAAATCCACACCTCGTATGCACTCCAATATATTGCAATCAGACACACAAACGTGTCTGCCCCATGGCCCATTCCTTACTATTAATTACTTCAATTACCCAGCCTAAACTTCAGGCCCGAATATCATAACACTCCTCGCTAGGCAGATAAGCGTTCACCTACTAACTTGTGACAATTTCCGCTGAAAGAAATTAACTTCGTCGTGAATTAAATAAGTAATTACCAACAGGAAGAGTTGATCTCGCTTAATTCCAGGCTTCGCTAGTAATATCTGGGTGAGACTTGCGGCAGATAATATTTGGACCGACTGAAGAAAGGACTTCTACACACCGTCTACAAAATGCTGCCTATGTTTCTTAATAGTTCCTTGGTTTTAATGAATATTCATAATTGAACACACCACAACGAAAAAAACGTTGATTCTTATGATATTTACCCATTTCGATTGTATTTAGAGATAGTGAAATAATTATTATAAATTATACACACATAACTACAATATTTAAATAAAACACTTTAACGGTTTAAAACGCGATATATTAGTTAAACTTATTTGACAATGATTTTTAACTTCGGCCTGACGTTTCGGATGCTTTGCAGCAGCCGTGGTCACGGGGTCTGTTTAAACTGGTCTGTAAACTATAGACAGTAGTTAACTACAATATTATCAAACTATTTACAATTACAATTTTGTCTGTAATCTACGCAAATAGAACACATTACAATAAAACACTGAAACTTAGTATCGGGCCGGAATTAATTCAAATAAACTTAACTAATATAATTCGTATTTTAAACCAGTTAAAGTGTTTTATTTAAATTATTATTTTTAACTCACTGAAAAAATCTTTAATCTTATTCCTATCCCGTTTTCTCCCTGCGACACATTATTGTGTTCGTATGAGCAATTATATTTAAAGGCAACGGTTGTGACCCCAGGACATCCTCAAGCTTGAAACATTGTTACAGTTCAACCATTGAACCACGGAAGGCAGTCGATTATCCATATGTATACAACAACAATATACAACTTAATGAAGATAGAAAGTGTAATCCATAGCTTTATATATGTTTTGACTGTTTTTTTTTGTTTCCTTAAGTTTACGACTGATCATCATGTCTCGCGTTCAAATGTTTGGTCGGGGCAAAATGTGACTTCCATATTTAAAAAAATTGTCATAAGCTATGTCCAGTAGTGGGACATTCGAATATCCAAACCTAATATAGGTCTTGCTTAGATGTTATATGGCTGGATTATTTTACCTCCTATCAAGTGCATCAAGGCTTGTCCGTCCTTCTCTATATTAAAAATTAAATAAGAGATTGAAACGATGATAATAACACGTCACTCGTATAGAAAAACGAGTTATCACAACAATTGTATTCTGTACAATACACAATAAAACATCGTCGCTACATTTTCTAATAGAATAATGATTTATGATTGTCTATGTCTCGTCTCGTCACTTCATTTATCTCTTTTCTTTGACAAGGCCCAAGTCTGTACGTCCCTGAATGATGGCTTCGAATTTGCAGTAATGATTTTTCTTTAATAATATAGCGTTTTGAAGAAAACTGTCATACTTATCGCGAGTCAAAGTAAAGCACGACACAGATAGGATAAGAAAAATAACAAGGTAACATAAAGTTATAAAAACTGTAATTAAAATCCTAAGTTAGTTACGCACTTCATGGTTCTTGTGTTATTATTATTGCAAAAAATACATTATGTATTATATAAATCAAATACATATTGCGTTAAGTTATTTAAATAAAACACTTTAAACGCGTCTCAAAAAGCGAAATGTATTACTTAGTTAACTTATTAACAATTTATTTAACTCCGTGAGGTCACGACTGCTGCAAAACATTCGAAACGTCGGGCCTTAGGTAAAAAAAAGTTTTTATTTGAATTAATACTCGCGTAAAGTGCAGACATAAAATATCTTTATAATAATAAATACGATATGATAATCACTGTGTGTTTTCGAATCAATAATTAATAAGTAAAAATACTGTACTGTCCCTAAATTAAAATTTTAGGTTGCCTGGAAGAGATCGCTTATTAACAATAAGACCGGCCATCGCACTCCATTTTAGCATATATGAGTTTTATCTGTATTATTATTATTTTGTGCAAAAAAGAATGAATAAATACAATTCGCTATAGCAATAATTATATTACAAAAATCTTACGAGCTTCGCCGTCACCGTGTCCACTTAATTGGTTGGCCAGACGAATTTTATTATGTTTGCAGTGCCACCGGATATTAGCTAAGTACGAAGGGAGAAATGAAATTACTGGCTAAATAAAAACGTAATGTACTTTATACATATAGTCTAGATTATGACTGACTCTATAGTTCGACGGTTAGACGTTACGAGATTCTAAAACGATAAAATGTTTCGGTCGGGCCGAGCACAGAAATAAAGTAGGTAATATAATAGATCTCGAAACGAACAACTAAATATGATCACAGCATGCTCTAAATTTAACTGTTGCTTAACAACAACAACAATGCTCTACTACAAAATCTAAACTCCCTGCATCCCCCCCCCACTTAAAACTGAAATTTCACTTCATTTTCCATTATTTGATCAGACTTCTGTACTCTGTACGTTTAACCATTGTCAAGCACACATTTATCTATTTAACTAGAGGCGGTTACGTAACGGTTAAGACCGATATATGCCCCTGTGAAATACAGCGTTAAATCACAATGTATTTTTGTAATTAAAATTAATTATTAACACTAGAAAGTCGCAGCACAAAAGATTTAACAAGCTTAATTGTGACTAAGTGCCGCGTAGAAATAATAATTAGCGCGGAGAAGCACTAACAAATGCACAATGCAAATATATTTTATTAAAATTACTGAAATTAACATTTATTTTCGGATTTAATATAATTATAAGGTGTAAATATTGTCTGTAGTCTCGCAAGTAGTACCCAAAAGTTGTAATGTTTTTTTTTTTTTTTTTTTTTTTTTTATCATTATCTGCGATCAGTCCCCAGACTATGAGCAAATGCGATGTATCTATTTAACATGTAGAGGGCATTCTCCAATGAGAACACCTACTAATTATTTTCTTTCTTGGAGCTATTTTCGATCTTGAAGCTCCATGATGTGGTGTCTTTTCAGGCGTACAGTATATTTATTTATGGTCAGTTGGCGTGCAAGTTCATTTGGGTGGATTGTGAGCTTTTTCCTGTATGTTACAGCAGCAGAGCGTATCTCATCCTTAACTGTGCCAATTCGCAGGTGTTCATGGAGTTCCGAATTACGAACAAACCATGGCACATTGGCCATGGTCCGAAGAATTTTATTTTCTTGGCGTTGTAATATGTTAATATTACTGTCGGAGGCACTCCCCCACAACTGTATGCCATACATCCAGATCGGTTTGATGACAGTTTTATAAATTAATAGTTTGTTGTCTAGTGATAACTTGGAGTTGCGGCTGAGCATCCAGTACAAATTGTTGTGTTTAAGTGAGATTTCTTCTTTCTTTGCATTTATGTGTTGCCTCCATGTCAGCCGTTGGTCTAAGTGGATGCCGAGGTAGCGCACACAGTTACTCTGAGGTAAAGTGTTATTTCCTAGGGTTACAGAGGGGCAGTTTCCAGTTCTGAGGGTGAAGGTCACATGCACGGATTTGGCCGCACTGGCTTTTATGCGCCATCGTTCTAGCCAGCTGTGTATTCTATTTAGGGCTTCCTGTAGTTTGTTTGATGCCACATCAGGATTGCTATGGCATGCAAGAATTGCCGTATCATCAGCGAATGTGGCCAACATGGTGCCAGGCGTTACAGGTAGGTCTGCAGTGTAGACCACATAAAGAATTGGTCCCAGTATAGAACCCTGTGGTACTCCTGCTTTTATCTCCAAAAGGGTTGAGCACTCCTCCGATTCCCTAACATAAAACAACCTGTCAGTTAAGTATGATTTCAATATGGTAAACAATGTATGAGGCAGATTCTCTTTAATTTTGCACAGAAGACCTTTGTGCCAAACTCGATCAAATGCCTGCTGGACATCAAGGAAGGCAGCAGAGCAATATTCCTTTTGTTCCAGGGTGCTCCTTATGTACTCGCAGACTCTGTGTACTTGCTCTATCGTCCCATGCTGTCTTCTGAAGCCAAATTGGTGGTCCGGTATGATTTTTCTCTCAACTAGATATGGCATTATTCTATCTAACAATATCTTCTCAAACAATTTTGAGATTGTTGGTAATAGACTTATTGGCCTATAGGAGGTCTTTTCATTTGCAGGTTTCCCGGCCTTGTATATCATAATGATCTCAGAGATTTTCCACAGGTCTGGGAAATATTGTAGTCTCAACATAGCATTCATTAGGATGGTAATGTATAATATGGCTCTCCAAGGTAGCTCGACGAGCACTTCCTTTGTAATTAGATCATAGCCCGGTGCTTTCTTGTTATCAAGCAATCTAATATTTTTCCGTACTTCTCGGGGAGTCACAGGACGGGGAGGAAGATCCAATTGAAAGTCTTGGTTTAGTATGCCATTAATGTCACTTTCTGCATTTCGATCACCAGTTTCATTTGGTACAAACACATTTGATAAATGACTAGCAAAAAGGTCAGCCTTCTCCTTACTAGTTCTTGCCCATTTCGAGGAGCACTTTTCATTTTTTAGTGGTGGCTTCTGCTCTTGTGGTCTGTCATAGGATTTCATACATTTCCAAAGCGAATAGTCTGTTACCTTAGTTGCAGACAGTGACTGCAGCTGGTCCTGTAGGGTCAAGTCATTTGCTGTTTGAATTAGTTTCCTTAAGTTCTGTATTGCCTTATTCAAGGCTGCTTTGTCTATGGGATGTCTGCTAAGATGCCAGATTCTACGCAGTCTTCTTTTTTCAATTATTTTATCTTTAATGTATAGTGGTAAGTTGGTATTGTATCTGGAACTATCTAGGACAGGAGTCATTCTCCAGCATGCCTCTTGGACCAGGTTTGTAAAATGTTTCAGAGCCTGATCTATATCCTCAGCAGTTTTTAGCTTGACCTTTAGATTGATTGCCTCATCAACATATTCTCGGAGAGAGTCCCAGTCTGTTCTATGGTTGTAAAGCATTTGAGTCCTTTCAGGCTCAATTACAACCATGCTGACATTCAGTATGATTGGTGTATGATCAGAACAGCTGTCCAGACACGTCTCCGTTTTGAAGTACTTTCGAGACTGTCCTTTGGTAACAAAGAAATCTAGGATGTCTGGTATCTTATTAGGATCTGATGGCCAATATGTGGGTTGTGAGGTTGACATTGTTATCATTTTATGTGTGTCTACACAGTGTTTAAGCTGCCGTCCACGTGTCGTTGTTAATCTGGAGCCCCAGTGGGTATGTTTCGAGTTCCAGTCACCACCAGCAATGAAACATCCACCCAGGCCTGTAAAAAAGTTGGCAAACATAGTAGAGTCTATGCTGTGTTTAGGTGGGCAGTATACTGCTGCTACGCTTGTAGTGCCATTTTCGTTATACACTGTCACTATTGTAGCTTGAATGTAGCTTGTCTTAAATTCGGGTTGAACATGGTGTTTTATAGTGTCACGTATTATTATAGCAGTGCCAGCATGCGCTGTACCATCTGGATGAGTGGTGAAATAAACTTTATGTCCTTTGATTTTGACATTGCTCCTGCTGTTGCAATGTGCTTCAGATATTAGAGCAATATCTATTTTGTGATGGATCATTAGGGTTTCTAGATAGTCCTTATTAGGCGCTAATCCATTTATGTTCCAGGTCATTATTCTTAGGCTCAGTTCTGTAATTTGTTGACAAGTGTTACTATGAGGCCCATCAAGGTGCTCATTTGTTGGAGGATAATGTCAAACTTTTCAGCTTGTTTTAAAAGTAAGTCTTCTAATCTAGAATTAGCGGTTGAGGGTTTTGTAAATGTGTTGTGTTCTTCTGCTGCCTGGTTGGATTTTAGTGCCTCTAAGTATGACCACTTTTCTCTTGTTGCCAAGTTAGCACCAGGTGTCCTTGGTTCCCCAACCTGTGTGTCAATTTTTGGTTTATACTTGTTTCTGCCAATTTGCTGGTTGGTTTTTCTTGCTGCTATTTCTTGATAAACTCGACATCCCTTATAATTGGCAGGGTGTGGGCCATCACACAATACACACTGAGCTGGTGTGTTACGGTCACGCTTAGCACATTCTGAAGTTTTGTGTGGTTCTTTACATTTAACACAGCGGTAGGGTCTCATGCAGTAATTCTTAGTATGTCCATACTGCTGGCATCGTTGACATTGCACAATGGTATTTCTTTTCTTGGGGTCTTCGATAACCACTACTTGGTTGTAAATGTACTTAATTTCCTTTACAGCTTTGTTTTGTGGTCCTGGCTGCAAATTTACAAAAAATGTAGAAGTACTTTTCTTTTCTGGACCATACTTTGAGTTGATAATTTCTCCTGACACCACATTTCCTGTTTTTTCTATTTCATCCTTTATAGCCTCATGAGGAGTAGTGTGGTGAAGGTTGCGAATAACAATTCTATAGCAGCGGTCTTGTTTTGTGTTGAAAGAGTGTCCAATAAGCCCATTTACACGGATTACTTGTATAACTTTCTTGTAGACATCTGGGTCTGGACAGTTGACCCGCATCTGGGTTTTATTCACAATTCTGAACGTAAAGTTTTCCCTGCTAGTAACAGTGTTCAGCAGTTCAGCCAGCTTATTGATATCTTCTACACGATAGAGTACTATTGGGGGCGGCTTGCTTTGTCTTTTCTCTAGAGATTGATGAGTGTCATCTGTGGGATCTATTGGCAATTCGCTGTATCTATTGGTCACGGGAATTGTGGAAGGAGGTGGTGATTCTGACATTTTTTTTCTCTTGCTGCTGCTCATTGTTGGTACTCTTTGCCAATCAGGTGGGCAAGGTTTAATAGTGGGTACATTGGTGTCATGTCCACCTTCATAAGGTATTTTTCCCAAAGATGAACTTCTTGGTCTACTGTTGAACAGGCTGGGATGAAATACCTGTTGGACGTGCCTTCTCATTCCAGTAGCATTTACTGTCACGGGGGCCTGGTTTCTCGCCCTCGTGGAGTCTTCGGTAGCCAATTTCACACCCTCCGGCCCGGGTACCGGAGAGCGCCGGGGGTTAGCCGGATCGTATGACAAATCGCATTCTAAGTTGTATTCCATATTTCATTACGAGTTTGGGATCTAAGTAGTAACAAACGTTTCCCAAGTATCTGCCCCAGGTCTTTTTGGAGGTATTTGGTCCCCAAGGCTTCCTGTAGCCTCTTCCAGTGAACTGGGCGTGAGGTTATACCGCCTCTGCTCGGTCGCCAGAGCCCCGTCCGTTGTCGAGCAGGGAGCACCACAACACTCTAGGAGAATGTTGCCATTAGCTATTCATACGAACCACCAATGCGTGCAGGTGGGGTTGGCATTTGGGCCGGTTGAGGTGTTATTAACCGTTCTCCCCTTACTCCCCAAAAGTTGTAATGTAAATACACTTTTAACAGTTAAAAACGCTTCTCCCCGTGACCACGGCGCTGCAACCGAAACGTAGGGCAGTAGTAATAATAATTGTAACAAGGTGTTATACACCAAATAGATTTCAAAGAAGATAAAAATAAATAAGAATTTATTTGGAAAAATATATATCTTTTTTTGTCTTAGCTTTAGGTCCGTTACTTTCTGGTAACATCGCTTGGATAACTGGTATATATACTGCATCTTATGTGTATAAATCATTAATTACTAGAGATGGGCCGAGTACTCGGTTGATACTCGAAACTTGTATTTTTTGATACTCATACTCGGCCGAATAACTCCGTTATTTGATAACGAGTATACTGTGTTAAAGAAAAGCTTTAAATTTATATATTTGCGGTAATCCAAAAGTTTATTACATTAGTAATTTAGGATTACTTTGAAAATCTCAATTAATAAAATCAAAACTATGCTAATGAATGAGTAGTAACAAGACAAAATTACGAGAAGATGACCGGCGCGAACCTGTTTGTACTTGTTTACGCGCGTGACAGATTATTTGAATTATTTTGTATATATATATAATTAAACGTAGTATAAATCATTGTTTTTGTGATGTATAACTGCGGGTAGTTTACAAAATGTTGAAAAGTAATGTTCGTGTTATTCGATGACGTCAGGCTAACACCTGGTCGGTTGTTTGTGAGTTGTATAAAAGGGGGGTGCGCTGTAAAGCGTGGAGCAGTGGCTCTGGAGCGATCGCACGGTAAACGCTGGTGGAACGTTGTTGGAACGTTGTTGGAACGTTAGAGGTTTCAGAATATGTTTAAAATCGTATATCTGTATTAATACCTATAATGCGAACGTTGGTTGAACATTGGATGGTTCAGGTATGATGTACATTATTATATTGTAATAAATAGGTTGTGATATATTATGTACTTTTTTATTATATTGATTTGGCATCAATATATGTCAATTAAGTATCGTAACCTTGTGTAATATATAGATAAATATCTTTAAATCAATATATAAATGGGGTACCATTATTTGTTAGATTCCTAGACGTTTTTATACAATAAATGTGTTGCCGGTATTATGGGGAATACGTTGCTGAAATGTAACATCTTGTTTAACGAAATAGAATAGTTTTTGACAGTATATCTTCTTGTTATTTACATGTTATCCTTAAAATCTCATATAAACCAATGCCTATAATTATATATTTAGGTCTCTTTATAAAAAAATCTAACATCAGAAGTGGGATCGATCAATACAGTGAATAAAATACCTCACACCATGTTTGCTCGTCTAGTTATATATACATTTGTTTTTCTTCTTATTATGTCACATTGTTTTTTTTTCTCGTTTTGTTTTTTTTTTGAAATAAAGATAATAACGTGTACATTAAGTACTTATAAAGGGATATGACACGTAAATTTGTTAAATATATATCGAGATTTTGAGGATGCAGATGGATTAGGATTATAAATTTCTAAAAAGAAATCAGCAACGTATTCAGATACTAGCAATAGATTTTGTGCTTAATTTTGTTTCGAATCGTTTTAGCCGAACATAGTAAAAAAAAAAAAAAAAAAAAACCCTCAATTTGGATGAATAATCGAGATAAGTATCCAAACTAATACATCAAGTACGAGTTTCAGAGAATTATGGACGATCAGCGACAACATCTTTAACGTAGCCGGGACTGCTCGAGACGTGATGAAGTGACACATGGCCTTCCAACACTGCTCCGTAACCAGACGAGGAGCCCTGAGAATTATGGACGATCAGGGGGAACATATGCAGCGTAGCCGGGACTGCTCGAGACGTGATGAACTGACACACGGCCTTCGAACACTACTCCGTTATCAGACAAGGAGCCCTGGTGAGGACGTGAGCGAAATCATCCTTAGCAGAGACGTATAAAAGGACTTTACGAAATAGTTTTCTTGCTATCAAACGATCTCTTTTTTTTTGAGGGGAATTAGTAATTTGGTTTAATACATTAATTTACGCAAGAAATACATTTTCACTTAAGCGTAAACACAATATTATACATTACATGATATTATATGCGAGTAGGTAGGAATTTACAATAATAGTTTGGTTGAAAATACTTCCCTGATCTATTTTAAATATAGATATTTCAATATACTATTACACAATCGGTTTCGTCTTTAGCGGTAAAACTGCTTTTAATAAATAATACATACTAAATAATAAGATGGTGCAACTTTGTGGCACATTGTAGTTTGCATTATTTAATCTTTTTAACGATGCTAAGAATATAATGTTTTAATTTCGTTTTAAATAATTTGTATGATTTAATATTTTTAATAGTTCTGGGGAAGTGTTTCTATGTTTTAGCACCATCATGCAGTATGTTATTTTTACGATAGTTAGAAACTTTATTTGTGTTTAGATGGCTCCATTTAATATTTTGAGTACAAATATAGGAATACTATAAATGTAGATTTGATTGATGGTCATAAGTCGATTCTCTTTATAAATCGTATCAGTTGAAGTTAAGTAATCGTAATATCAGTTATTTTGAGAAAATTGTGATGGTTTAAGATTTGTTTTTGGCAGCAGTGCCCCAGACCACAATTAGATAATTTACGTATTAGCACAGTTGCAAAAGAAAAATTGCGATGTTATTAGCCTAGAGAAATGATGGACGAAAATAGGGACGAAAATTGTTCTTAGTTGGCTTCTATTATTGTTAATTATTTACTAATGTACTGTTATTTTTAAGAGAGGTGATAATTCGAAACGACAAAAAAAAAAGCCGCTGGTCGACTGTTTGCTTGGTACTAGTCCATACCACTTGCAGCGGGTGAGTGGGCTAGTGCGTCTAGGTAGACAGTATAAAGAATAGAAGCCGCTGGTCGACTGTTTGCTTGGTACTAGTCCAGACCACTGGCAGCGGGTGAGGGGGGCTAGTGCGTCTAGGTAGACAGTATAAATAATTAAAGCCGCTGGTCGACTGTTTGCTTGGTACTAGTCCAGACCACTGGCAGCGGGTGAGGGGGCTAGTGCGTCTAGGTAGACAGTATAAAGAATAGAAGCCGCTGGTCGACCGATTACTTGGTACTAGTCCAGACCACCGGCAGCGGGTGAGGGGGCTAGTGCCTCTAGGTAATCGGTATAGTAATACCTCCGCTGGTCGCTCGATTGTTTGGTGCAAGCAAACTAGACTCATAAGCAGCGGATGAGGGTTTCGACACGTCTATGCAATCGAGAGGTATAAAAAAAAAAGAAAAAAAAGAAAGATTAAATAATAAATATTCGATTCTAATAGATTACATATTTCAAGTATTAAAAAACATTATATTTGTGATGTTCGATTCAAATTATCACCAACAATCCTATTTGTAAGTACAAGTGTTCTGAGAACAAATAATGTGTCAGTTTGGCCGTAACGGATTATTTGAATTATTTTGAATATTTATATAAATAAACTTGGTTATAATTATTACCAACAATTCTGTTTGTTTGAATAAGTGCTTTGAGAACAAATCACATGTCAGTATGGCCGTGACAGATTATTTGAATTATTTTGTATATATATATAATTAAACGTAGTATAAATCATTGTTTTTGTGATGTATAACTGCGGGTAGTTTACAAAATGTTGAAAAGTAATGTTCGTGTTATTCGATGACGTCAGGCTAACACCTGGTCGGTTGTTTGTGAGTTGTATAAAAGGGGGGTGCGCTGTAAAGCGTGGAGCAGTGGCTCTGGAGCGATCGCACGGTAAACGCTGGTGGAACGTTGTTGGAACGTTGTTGGAACGTTAGAGGTTTCAGAATATGTTTAAAATCGTATATCTGTATTAATACCTATAATGCGAACGTTGGTTGAACATTGGATGGTTCAGGTATGATGTACATTATTATATTGTAATAAATAGGTTGTGATATATTATGTACTTTTTTATTATATTGATTTGGCATCAATATATGTCAATTAAGTATCGTAACCTTGTGTAATATATAGATAAATATCTTTAAATCAATATATAAATGGGGTACCATTATTTGTTAGATTCCTAGACGTTTTTATACAATAAATGTGTTGCCGGTATTATGGGGAATACGTTGCTGAAATGTAACATCTTGTTTAACGAAATAGAATAGTTTTTGACAGTATATCTTCTTGTTATTTACATGTTATCCTTAAAATCTCATATAAACCAATGCCTATAATCATATATTAGGTTCTCTTTTATAAAAAAATCTAACACGCGCGAAATGGGTATTTGAGTGAACCGAGTTAGTCGGCCCAGTACTCGGTGGAAAAAAAATTGAGCCGAGTAAAACTCGGTACTCGATACTCGGCAATAGTGTAACTCGGCGCATCACTATTAATTACCAATAGTAAACAGTACAATTGTTTACAACCCATTCATTATTCCAGATTGAGCTAAACGTCTTAATATTTTATGTTCACCACGACATTACAGCCTGCATACACATAACAGTTAAAGTTGTAATGTTGTTATATATGTGTTAATAACATTGTAATAACCGTTACATTTTTAACTACATATT